GTAGTAGCCACAAAGGCCTTTAATCCCAGCACTCTGGTGGCAGAGGCAGGCGGGTCTCTGTAAGAAGATTATATATAGACTGGTCTCAAAAAGCACAACAGAAGTGGGGAAAAGCCCACTCCCCGGGACAGCCTTGGAAGCGGCAGTGACCAGCCGGGCTGGGAAACAGCTGCAGCCTGGTCATTGGAGCCTCTGGATCCAGACCCAGACAGGGGCCTCCGGCTGATAGGGCCTGAAGCTAGACAGGCCTCCCTGAGCCTCATTTAGCAGGTGGCAGTGCCTACCTCAACCACACAGGCGAAGAAGCAGGCCAGACAAGCGGCCGCTGGGCTACTGTCAATGTCATATGAATTTATTTGCCCTGTTTAAGAAGACACGGGATGGCTTCTTTTCATCCTGCATGCTTTTGAGATGTCTATGGCTTTATTATTATTACTAAAGTGATAATTATTGTAGTAAAGGTAAGTTTTTTTTTAAGGCAGGGTATGGCTATGTAGCCTAGGCTAGCCTTAACTTCATGGCGACCCTCCCACCTCAGCCTTTCCAGCACCGAGTATTGGTTTTTGGTTTGGCTTGGTTTTTCAAGACAGAGTTTCTCTGTGGAGCCTTGGGTGTCTTGGACTCACTTTGTAGACCAGGCTGGCCTCGAACTCACAGAGATCTGCCTGCCTCTGCCTCCCAAGTGCTGGGATTACAGGCGTGCACCGCCGTGCCCAGCTTATTTGTGGGTTTTTATTGTTTTGTTTTTTGAGACACAGTCTCGTGTAGCGCAGGCTGGCCTAGAACTGTCTGTGTAGCCAAGGGTGATAAGCAGCCTGCCACTGAGTCACACCCGCAGTCCACGTTTGTGTTTAGTGGTGTGTGTGTTTGCGTGGGGTACACGTATGTGTGGTGCATGTTTGTGTAGTGTGTGTGTGTAGGTCCTGTGCATGGCATTCACGGTGTATGTGTTGCATGTGTGTAGTGTACAGTGGTGTGTGTGTGTGTGTGTGGCACACGCACGTATTTTCAGAACTTGTTGGTTGGCATCACGTCACAGGCCTGTCGTGTCAGGGAGGCTGGCCTGCTAGGCTATGGCGAGTTTGAGGTCAGCTCAGGCTAGAGTGACACCCTGTCTCTCTTCCTCACCCAAGAAAAGACCTGTTCTCTTAGAATAACTCTGTCTTCCTTCTCTCCTCCTCAGGAGCGGCCCCTGCTGAAACTAGCCTCCCTGTGTCTTCACTGCCTTCCGCCTGAAGCCCACGCCGCACCATTAGAATTGGAAATGGGCAGAGGAGATGTGACTAAGTTATTCCTCATCTTCTACGAGCATGTCGCTTCCAAGAGGACAGAGCCTTGTCGCTGTCCTAATGGCCTTCCTGGGGCCGGGAACAGGGAGGACCTGGGCTAGGTGCTCAGGAAGCTGAGTACGTGGATGGGGTTCCCGTGTCCGCATCCACCCTGCAAACCTGAGATAAAGATGCAGCAGCCATCATGCTGGGCATTCTACAGACCTCGCCACACTCACTTCTCTGAAAGTGCTTATCAGCCACCTTGGCAGGGACTTTTTTGGGTACACCCACATATTCCTATATAAACTACTACCTACAGGCCAAAGTTTAGCCTATTTTTATAAAGGTTTTCTGGACTACAGCCTCACCCATAAATGTACGGTTGCTTGGGAGCAAAAAGGAAAGAACTGGGTAACTTCAGTGAAGGCTGTATGTAACACTTAAAAATATTCACCACCTGATCTTTCAAGAAAAACTTTACAGGAAGGAGGGCATGGTACCACAGGTCTATAATTGTAGCTACTTTGGAGGCTAAGGCAAGAGGACACAAGTTTGAGAGCAGCCTGGGCAATGTAGTTAAATGCTGTCTCAGAAAAATAAAAAAGGGCTGGGTAGTGCTGGTATACCCCTTTAATCCCAGCACTTGGGAGGCTGAGGCAGGAGGATCTCTATGAGTTCTAGGCCAGCCTGGTCTACAGAGAGAGTTCCAGGACAGCCAAGGAGAAGCCCTGTCTTAAAAAACCAAAGGAAGAGGAAGAAGAAGAGGAGGAGGAGGAGGAGGAAGAAAAAGAAGAAGGGAGCACTTAGGATGCAGCTCAGTGAGTGGAGTCCCTACCCAGCAGGCAAGAGGCCCTGGGTTCAATCCAGACACAAGCCAGGCCTGACGGTAGATGTCTGTAATTCCAGCACTTATAAGGTGGAAGGGGAAGATCAAAAGTCAGCAGAAGGTCATTCTGTAAAATAAAATAATGAACTAAAAAAGGCCTGTGGTTGTGGGTCTTACAGAGGAGGTACAAGGCCCTAGGTCCCAGCCCTACCTCAAGGGTAAAAGACAAGAAAACAATGCAAGTCATAATGGCAGCTGACACAGCGTTTAGGCCTAAGTGTGTGGTAGGGATTGTGCTAAGCATTGCGGGAATATTATCTCATGGAACTGAATTTCCATTATAACATTGTGAGCAGAGCCTGACTGGCCAGGTCAACAGAGGCTCCACTGTCTGCTAGGATCGTTATGCCCAATGACAGACCCAGAATCCAAAGCCCGGCCCGGGTCTGCGCACCTCTGGCCTGTGTGACAGGCTGTATAGCTTTTCCAGCTGCACATTCTATGGCTGGAATCTAGCAGAACCCTTGATAGTCATCCTCAGAAGACCACCTGGGGGTCCCCACTTCGGGAGATGTTCCTCCTAGCTTGAGTGCCTGCTTCTCTCTCCAAGAATGCTACCAGCCTGCCAAGGCTTGGTTAGGGCCTCCCTCTCTCAACCAAGAGAGTCTCTGGGGGAGTCACAGCTGCTGCGTAAAATGCTTATTTGTATTCATGTGTGTCGGTGTGGGTGTGCGTACCTAGTGCAGGTATGCAAGAAGGCCAGAAGAGGACACTGGGTCACGTGGAACTGGAGTTACAGGAGGTAGTGGCCCACTCAAGCTAGGAGCTGGGGTCCTGACTTAGGTCCTCTGGAGAAGTTGCCAGTCCTCATAGCCACTAAGCTACTGCTCTGGCAATTTGTTTTTGTTTTTTTGAGACTGGGTTTCTCTGTGTAGTCTTGTCTGTCCTGGACTCACTTTGTAAACCAAGCTGGCTTTGAACTCACAGAGATCTGCCTGACTCTGCCTCCCCAAGTGCTGGGATTAAAGTCGTGCACCACCACACCCAACTACCCCCCCCCCCCTTTTTCCATCATGATTTCTGGGGACTGAACCAAGGCCATCCAGTTTGTATACCGACTCAGGCTTGCAAGTGCTTTTACCTGCTACGCTATCTGCCCTACCTTGCCATAGCTGGTTCTTGGAGCACAGCTAAGACCAGGGTACAGAAGCCTCAGTGTCTACTGTTACTGTTGTGTTTGTTAGTTGTTTTGGTTTTTTGAGACAGGGTTTCTTCCTGTAGCCTTGGCTGTCCTGGAACTCTGTAGATCATGTTGGCCTTGAACTCAGAGATCCTCCTACCTCTGCCTCCAAGAGTACTGGGATTACAGGTATGAGCTGCTGCTGCCCCCCGACCCTGCTCATAGTTGCTTTGAGATAGAATATTACTGTGTATCTCTAGCCCTCAAACTAAGTAGCCCTGATAAAATGTCCTGTCTCAGAATAAGTTTTATTAGAAGCAGAAATCTTTATTTTCTAGTTTGTTTTTTTCCAAGACAGTCTCACTATGTAGCTCTGGCTGTACTAGAATTCACTATGTAGACCAGGATGGCCTCAAACTCAGAGATCCACCTGCCTCTGCCTCCCAAATGCTGGGCTCAAAGGCGTGCACCATTGTGACCACCTAGAAGCAGAAACAACCTTAAAGGAGGCAGGCATAGTGGTGCCCACTTTTAATGCCAACACCAGGGAAAGAGAGTTTGAGGCTAGCCTTGTCTACATAGTGAGACTGTTTTAAAAAGAAAAGAAAAGCAAGAAAGAAGAGGACCAGAGAGACGGCTCAGTGGGTAAAGACACATGCTACCAAAACTTGCAACCTGCGCTTGATTCCTGAAACTCCCATGGTAGGAGAGAAGCACTGTTCAAAAGCTGTCCTCTGACCTCCACTTTCCACCTGGGCATCCAGCCATAGACAGATACATACACGCATAGGTAAAATATAATATACATACACACACATACAAAAGAGTATGCAGAAAGGCTGGTTAATCTTTTCAAACCAGGTGAGGCAAAAATCCAAATAGTAAAAAAAAAATAAATAGAAGTAAGACTATTATGATTGTCCACGTACATTTTCTGTGAATATGAATTCTACCACCTAGCCTGGGAGTCTTTTTGTGCCCGCTCCTACTTTTTGTATTTGAGACAAGGTCTCACCATGCAGTCCAGGCTAGCCTGGACCTCAGGATTCTGCTTTGGCCTTCTGAAGGCTGGGATGCCAGACATACTCCACCACACCCAGCCTTCCGAGGCTGACCTGTCGCCTGCCTTACCCACGTGCATGCCCTTGACAGGTACTCATTTCTACCAGGAATTGGGGCAATGACCAATACTAGCAAGCCCCAACGCAGTGTCCTAGTGTCACTCTGTCTCAGGGCTCACCACCCATAAATACAATCCTAGGCACTTCAGGTCCTCAATCAGAACTCTGTAATGAGCTTTTCCTTAAATTGCCATCCTGGAGTAGGATGACTTGGGGACTCCCTGGGTCCCCCGGGCAATGTCATAGGGCACATCTGGGGTGGCCAGCAAGTGCTGGTACTCGGCCTTTGCCCTGAAGGAGGAGGGATGCAGTGAATTCATTCCTCAGGGATGCTCTCTGGGCCGGGTCCTTCCCGGAGTCTTCCAGAGGTGTCACCAGTCCCTCTCGGGAAGGCAAGGCCGGGTCGGACACAGGGGAGCTCCGAGGACGCTGACCTCAACTTTGTTCTTTAAAAATAGCTCGGAGGAGGCCGAGGCGCTCCCGGGAGCCGCCCGCTTCCCCTGCAGAGCCCGGGGTCGCCGGGAGGACGATGGCTCGGGGTGGGGGTCACAGGGCGACCCAGGGGGAAAGAGACAGGGACCGGGCCGAAGCAGGCCGCTCACCTTCTTCACCGACAGCGAGATGTTCTCCAGGATTCGGTCCTTCACCTCCCGCGGCTCCATGGCGCCGCCGCCGCCGCCGCCGCCCCGTCGCCGCTTCCCGCGCCGGGCGCCCGGGGC